AATAGAGTAATAAAATTAGATGTCCTGTGTGTTTTTATTTTTATAATACCTTTTATCCTTTTAACCATGATTTAAGAAATATCACTTTTTCAGCAACAGAATAATCCACTCAGAAATTCTCTCTGAGATAACGAGTGTTTGATATTTCATAATGTGTATTTACATAACGTTAATCCTAAAAATTGTGGTTTGTCAGAATGTGCTGAAAGTGGATTTGGTCATCTGACGGCTACATGAGTAAAATATGAGAATAATGCGTTATATGCAGTACCTCTTTTTTAATGTTGGCCCTAGGGATTTGCGTATTAAAAACTTTAGATCGTGTTAGTAAGTGTTTAGCAGGAATTTTTAGGTGAAATTTACAGCATTTTAGACTAAGCATTTTGTTACTCAATTTTAGTTTATCTTCTATAGTACAAAACAAAAGAATGAAAAAGTACTTTAAACGAGGCCATGACCAAATATAAAATAATTATTTGCATGCAACATGTAACAAATTTAATGTATATTTTTTTGTTATACTTAATTCCGTAATAACCAATAATAATAATAATAATAATAATAATAATGTTTATTCTAAACCAACAGACATAATGACTATACAGGTAACACAATAACACAAGTGATTAAAAAAAAAAACAATAATATTAATAAAAAGATATAACATAAATATATATAAACCAAAAACAAAAAAATTACTAAAATGACCTAATCAAATTATTGCTTATTGTTTCTTAACTTCGGCATGAGTTCTTAAGACCCAGTACACATACACATACATAGCGATAAAAGTTTCTTTCTAATGTTTTTACTACAGAAATCATGAAAAAATATATCGATGTCATAGTGCATTACACAATTATACAATCTAAGACTACTTACAAGGGGGCTGTTAAAATGCCGATAGGTGTTCGGTAATACATAATAGAATGTTATAGGAGATCTTACATTAATTCGAGGAACGCACATTTTAATTTCACTTAACAAGTTGGGGACTATCACTGCACCTTTTAAGATTTTTTGTAAGAATATTAAGTTAGAAACATTTCTTCTAGCACACAGGGGGGTCTCATTAACTAAATTTAGTAGAGCATTTTGGTCGCAGTGTCGTGGTGGATAACACTTGAACATTTTGAAATAAAGATATTTACAATATTTATGAAGAACATTTTCAAATAACATTACATATATATGTTGAAAGGGGTTCCATATAACAGCACAATATTCAAGCTTACACCTGACCAAACTGTGGAATAATGACCTTATAATGGAAATGTCATTGAAGTCTATAGTATTCCTTATAATAAATCCTAAGATTTTCATTGCATTTGTCACAATAGCCTCAAAATGCGGTATAAATGATAAAGTACAATCCATTATAACCCCTAGACCAGAAACACGATCAGATCTCTTAAGCATAGTACCATTTATGTTGTAATCAAAAACAAGCGTAACTACTTTCCTAGTGTAAGACATAATTAAGCATTTACCATTATTAATCGGAAGATGGTTATTTTTACAGTAGGAAGTAAATTTATCAATGTTTTGCTGCAACTTTTCGCAATCAGAAAGATCTTTTATAATATTGACAATTTTTAAATCATCCGCATAAATATAAAATTTGCAGTCTATATAGTTAACAACATCATTCAAGAACATGATAAAAAGGAGTGGACCAAGATTGGATCCTTGGGCAACACCATTGTGTACACTAAACAATTTTGATTTGTAACCACTGTATTCCACATACTGCTGTCTATCTAGTAACATCGACTTAATCACTTTTATTAAGTTTCCAGAAATACCAAAAGCATCCAACTTGCGAAGCAAAATACAATGATTAACCTTGTCGAAAGCTTTGGAGAGATCAGTGTACACAACGTCGACTTGGGACCTCTTATCCAAGGCTTGCGACACAAAATGTGTAAATTCATACAAATTTGTAGTGGTAGATTTACCTTTAAGGAATCCATGTTGTTCAACAATAATACCATTTCTTACATGAGAATACATAATGTCAGACAGGACAGACTCAAACAGCTTTGCAAAGTTGCATAAAAGAGCAATTGGTCTATAATTATCAATCTTATTCCTATCGCCAGACTTATGTACAGGACATAAACGCGATGACTTCCATATGGTAGGGTATGAACCAGTTTCTAATATTAAATTAAAAATATGACACAGGGGTACCAACAAACAAGAGATAGAATCCTTAATTATAAACGCAGGTACATCATCTGGGCCAGCAACGCAGTTGTTCTTTAATTTCTTCGCCGCCTTCAAAATTTGATCCGGATGAATGCAAAAGTTGTTTAACACAGTTGAATGCAAACAGCTGTATTCATTAACTAAAGATGGACAACACAATTTATCACAGTAGTCACAGACACCAAAAAAAAAACAATATCACAAGTGATGTCACAGACATGGTTAGCACTATCACATACAAAAACAGTCTCAAACTGTTGGGCAAATGCATTCACAATATCTTCAGGAGATGTAAGTGTTTTACCTTCATGAATCATGTGTCCCGGCACACTACTTCTCTTCTTTTTCATGTTGACAAACGACCAGAACTTTTTGGGATCATCCTTCATGATAGTTTCAGAGTGGCTAACAAAGTTAAGATATTCTTTTCGAATTTCTGTTTTGGCCAAGCGTCTAAGTTCTTTGAATTTGTCCAAATGATATAGAAATTTTGTTTTTTTATAACATTTCCAGTGCTTATTTTTTAAATTGACCACATCAATAACTGATTTTGTAAACCACATTGGATAATTCTTTCTTTTAGTTGTTGTTCTCTGCAGAGGCACATATATACTTATGCAGTAGATCATAAATGATGATATAAGTCTCTTTACATGCGGAATCAACATCAGTAATTTCTAAGATTCTTGACCAGTCAATAAGTGACAAGGTTAAGTAGAGTTCCATAAAGTTAGCTCTTCGAAAATTAAACTTCAAAGACTCAGAATTTCTGGGGAAGCGAATATTACATTGTTCATTAACACAAGAGATAATCATTTCCAAACAAGGATGGTGAGGATCTTCCGGGACCAGTGGGACAGAATGTTTACAAATATCAATGTTAAAGTGATCAGTTGTAAGAAGAACATCTAAGATTTTCCCATTATGATTTAGAATATTGTTGTGTTGTGTAAGATTATTTAGAGTACTAAAATGTCTATAAATATTAAGAAGTTGAGTTGATTTACTAGAAGTCATAACTTCAACGAGATCAGGAATGTTTAAATCACCAGCTAGTATTACTGATTAATGATTTTGTTTTGCACAATTCATGCTAGAGTTGTAAACTTGTTAACACAACCCAAAATTTTTAGCACGTAACCTTCGGCCATGGTTAAAAAGTGACTGTATATATGTATATTTGTATATATGTTTATATTCACGGATTATGCTGGATTTTTCAAAAAACATACACTTATTAAATTTGAAGTTAAAGTACAATTCTAAGGTCTACACATTGTTTTATACTGGATGATGCTGATTACATTAAAACAGTTAACACACTGCTCCTGCATAACATAATGTAAATCTCGACAAGGTTCAATAAACATCGTGATGTTTGCAGTATTACCAATGGCAGCTTATGTGATTAATTAATTTACTTTGCATAACTACTAATCGATAAAATGGGTTGTTACAATCCGAATTATTGTTTTAATTAAGTGTTACGTCCTTTTACCCACTCTCTCAGTAATAATTATTTATACAACTACCATATCCATCTTCATATGCTAGGTTTAAAACAGAAATTCCCAACTGTACGTGGAGATTTTTTATTTATTATTCCCACAGGGTATTTGTAACTATAGTTGTTCATTTTTAATGCCGGTAGATCCATTATTATTCATCAAAACAAAACTGAACAAAATTTTCGTCTGATTCGTAGGATGCTACATCGGATTCGGTTCCAACTTCTTTCGTTATTTACCAAACCTGTTTGATTCCTGCAAATTTTTATAAAATTCATTCGATGCTCCCGGAAATGTCAATAACACGTCAAAAGAATTTTCCGTAAGTATTTGAAGATGAAAGAGGATAAGTTTTGTGTTATTACAGTCCAACTGCTCGTCACTTTCCACAAACAACGGCTTCAGCCGGAGGCTCCGAAGTAAATCTTCATAATTACAGATTTAATCCTTAATCAACCCCCACTGCGAAGTTAAATAAATGTAGATTAGTTAGAAATCTGAACTGACGTTACAGTTGTGTAATAAATTCTAATTAATTGGTGATTACAATGCTTCTGTCAAAATATTTACTTGAGTGGGGGAGGAAATGTGGATAAGAAAACTTCCGCTTAATCGGAAAATTCCAGTTATTTTTTCCCAAAATAGAGGAAATTTTATTGGAGAAATAAAAACGCAACAAAACTGTAACAAATAAATATAGATTAATCTTCTAAAAATAGAACGTTGAATCTGAAGGAATTTAATGCGCTACGACTTGTATTTTATTTTAAACTTTCGACCCGTGTTGTAGAATACTAAATACCTGTACGTTTACTCAAGGGATGTATAGATGTGTTCACTTTTTCCTTTACATGTAAAGTACTAGCAAATATTTACAAACTTACGCCGTAAAATGTTCATTGATGTGCCAATAAAGTTTGTAAGTTGGAGTATGCTGACAATATCACCGACTTTTTTTTGCTTTATAAAAGAACGCAAATTTCCCCAGACGATTTCGGCTCGTTATTTTGAAACAAACAAAGCTTGTTTTTAGGTTTCAAGAAATTTTATTCTGATGAAAATGCTTTGACCATAGATAATGCAACTATATTAATCACTCTGTCAGTTCGTCATTTTTGTTATTCGAGAAGTTCTGAAAATATCATCAAGTCTAGATAAAAGGAAACTCTGGAAAACATTACCTATTTCCCTCCTTATATATTCACATCCTTTTAAAACATGTTTGTAAAACATTCATCTTTTATACATAATCACCATAATTGTATATATATTCTGTTATAGGTGGAATTGGCAAAGCAGACCGAAGAGGGTGATGTCAGCAACTATCAAGCTAACGGTGAATTCGACTTGATTAGTTTTTCCTCGACCAAACACGTCGAATTCTACTCTTGCTGTCCAGAACCATATCCTGATATTACGTATACGATTAAGTTGAAGAGGCGTCCATTATTTTACGTTTTTAACTTAATCTTACCCTGCATTCTAATCAATGGCATAGGTAATTTATCACTTTAGGGATAAACTCGGTGATCATTTCTATTTATTTTCAGCACTTTTGGTCTTTTATGTTCCTTCGGAGTCGGGTGAAAAGGTAACCCTTGGGATAAGTGCGTTGCTTTCAATGACAGTTTTTCTAATGACTATACGAGAAACTCTGCCACCAACTGAGAAAACCCCATTAATTAGTAAGTAAATTTTGTCCTTTCATTATCGCATTTTTAATGGATGATGTCAGCTGTTGCAAAAAATACATCAAAGTTTTTATGAAATATAGAAAAATTGACGATAGCTTTAAAAAAGCTCTAATTTTACTGTTGGAAAGATTAGCTTGGAACAGTTTTACGTGAGCGAACATAATTTCTCTAGCTTAAAGAGTTGTTTTTCAATGTGTTCTAAAATATAAACTTGTAGGAGCTAGTTCATGTTACTTCGCTTGCTGAACATTTATTAAACAAATATTAAATAGAGTTGCAAAATAAAGTTAACACATCTGCAAAAACTATTTTGGTATTTATGTATACGGTCGTTGAAGTATAATTCAGTTTCTTAAATAAATTTTGATAAAGGCTACTTTGATTATGGCACAAAACTCAGGCACGTAACCAAGGGGGGGCCTGGGGAGGCACAGGCCACCCCAGCAAAACCCTGTGCCACCCCTGGTGCCCCCTTAAATTAATTTTAAATTTTAAAAGTAAAGCAAATTCAGATTTCAGATCAACAGTAAATTTTAGCTATGAGTAATCTTATGTTCTTATCTTGTAATATAACTCTCTGAGTAAAGCGATACTGCTGTGAACAGTTTTGTCGATAACTTTTTTAAACAATTAGCTGATACAACTGATATACCTTTTACACACTATGCAGATTGGCACGATTTAAATGAATTCTGATGGTGTTAGTTAATTTCAACAATTTGCACCCCATTAAATTTATATACTAGTTGTGATCCAAGTAAAATGTTGATTTATACTAATGAAGACTTTTTTAAAGGCCCCCTTATTAGAAATTTGTGCCCGAGCTGGGCCCCTCCAGAATAAAAGACTGGTTACGTCCCTGCACAAGACCTATAACTGAAAACAATTTTGAATATTGAATGTGCTCATTAGTATGCAGCATTAAAAAACACTTTTGAAATAAATTGAAAAGGAATGTATAATTTATGCACAAAAAATGAAATCTTGCACTTGAATAATGTTATCAAATAATTTCTCTTTACGCAAATTTATACTTACTGAAAGCAGAAATGGAAGTAAATATCTTTCAGATATTATCAAAAAACAAAATTGATTCAAAGCACAAATTAATTGAGTTTTAGGTTAACTGTAAATTAGGTAATAAATGGGTAACTGTACAATTAAGAGACTAGAACAGAATCAACTTTCCCGTTCATTCTTAATCAATAATTAAGAATCCTTTTAATTTAAGATAATTTTTTTACCTCCGTGTTGAACGTGGATAAAATATTACAAAAAGATCCTTTACGTTTTCTTTTAGACGGAATAGCCTTAAATTTTTAACACACATTTGAAAAATGGTGTACATGTTATTCATCTTTGATTTTTGGATTAAATATCTGCCAATTCACAACATCAGAAAATTTATAAGCCCTTCTTTCTTCCTTCATGTGATTACTGCCTTTGATTATACCTCGAATTTAAACTTCAAACTTTATTTCATTTATTAAATTAAGGTGAGACAAGGACGCCATTTTTCTTTTGGTATTTAGGAATCTATTTATTGCTCTTCTGAGAAACTGTTTTTGTTTGATCTTTGTAGCCAATTTTTGTCTTGGTATGTATAAATTAAATGTAATTTATTTTATAAAAGATAAAACGAAAGTAAGAACCAGAAATATAAGCGAACGTACATAAAATACAAACGAAATACATATTTCTTGAAATTTTTTAACAAAGCAAAGGTTTACAAGAACATTTCAATAGAGTTATTTTTAACATCTGTGTTGCAATATTTTATGGGCAGAGAAACAAAAATATGCGTTCTGTTGTAGTACTAATAAAATTGACTCTTGTATTTTATTACTATATCTTTTCTCATTTATCTCTTGATAATATTGTGTGGGTGTTAAAAAATTGAAATATTGCAAAAAATATCAGGTTCATGTTTAAAAGATGAGATGTGTTTATTTCAAAATGTTTTTATAAACACTCTATACTATACTCTAAAGGTCAATTTTAATGGTACTATCAGAAACCGCATAACTTCAATCAATCAATGTTCATCTGTTCATAAAAATTTTACACAGATCACAGATGTTACCCTGTTGCGGTTTTTTATGAATCTATACTTTAGCAACATCACATCGATCATGTAATAATATAGATATTAACTACGTATTAAGAAGGATAATAGTATATAACGATACAAGGCCGAAAACGAGCAAGTAACGGACGCAGTTGAAGTTTGTAAACCGAGACGAAGCCGAGGTTTATAATCAACCGAGTTCGTTATTTGCGTTTCGGCCATGTGTCGTTCAATACTTTTCGCAATCCCATATGTATCCCTTGTAAATAAAAAAAATGTAGGTTTCGAAAAAAATTCAAATTCTAAAAAATAGCACGCCATATTTTGGGCTTCGTTACCATGGATCAGTTTATAAACAAGATATAGTTTTATAAGAACTCCATCAAAAATTGCTTAGTATTATAAAAGCGAAACAGCCATTGGACATTATACCCCTTAACGGCTGGCGGCCGTTATGGATGACTTTTCATTTGTCATTTGAGTTCTGTAAACTTGAAATAACACTATGGGATTACGAAAAGATTGTTTACTGGATGAACACAAAAGTTTGGAGATGCAGCGAGGTGGTGAATTTGTCTGAAACGAACGTTGACGTGATGCTCATACTATTTTGTGTACGACAGAGCTTTTTTCATCCAATTTGTAATGTTAACAGGAATTCACAACACATCAATGAAGCCGTTTTTTTTTTCAAAATTTGTTGTGATTTTACCTAAGCATACACCTTAGTGTTGAATACATGAATACTTACCGTTCACCTAGGCACTAAGTAATACTTATTGCTACTGTGGAAACATACCCGGTCCGGTGGATGATTAAAAATGCAATGGTCGTACAGAAAAATATGTGAGAACGTCCTGTTAGATCAACAAGTTTTACGTTGTGCCTCAAAACAGAACATTCTGTATAGTTGAAAATGTTTAATCGTAATTGATGGAACAAATAATTCAAACAACTTTTCAGTGACAAACAAATACCTAAAAAAAAAGAATGTTTGACATATGAAATACAAAACCCGACAAACAGCCTTAGACGATACTGAAATAACTTTGAAAAAAATAATGCAAATATGTACATTTGTATCTAGCACATTAATATGAATCGTCAAAATAAAATTAATAATCTAGGTAGTGACGCGACAGATCGATCAAGAAGGCGTAAAGTATAGTTATAAAATATAATAGGTATAAAAATATTAATTAATATGAAATATATTGGGGGAGTGGGCTATTTCTTTAGAACTTTTTCTTCTTTTTCTCGTTATAACTTTTGCAGTTTATTCATTTTCCCCAATAATACATGAAATATTTCAATATTCCCAACTGGATACAGCGGTCCCATCGTGCTGGAATAACTTTTTTAAGGCCTCCTTCAAAAAAGACTTGTGATGCTGCGACGCAATTCCGGTGACAGACAGTGACGGTCCAGATTTTCGCCGATAACGCGTGGGGGTGGCGTGCCTCGATGCCAAGCCTTGGGCCGACTAGCGCCGCTGAAACACGTCTGGTCGACCTAGGCTAATAAGACCACTTTCACGCCACAAGGAGGGAGCACCGGGGTTAGTCTAAAGCCGGAGACACGGATCTCCAAGTGATCTGGTGAGAGCTCACGAAAACAAGAAAGAAAACGGAGGAAAATTGTTAACAATAATCGGTTTTTTATCCCTTGCCACCAGCTATACGGCTAAAATAATCTTACGGTTAAAAATAATCTTAAATAATTAAAAATCGATTTTACAAAATAAAAAAAAAAAAGAATAAAACGCCCGGCACGGTCGTTCCCTCTTGGACGGCGACTTCCTTTGGGACGGGCTGCTCCTGGTCCTGGAGGCGACCCGGAAGGGGAGCGCGGTGGTGGAACGCGACGCGTACTCAACGGTTTCGGCTTCTTGCGGTAACGGAAAAAAACGGTGACGGCGGTACGGTTTTTCGCTCGGGGGCGGCGATTCAAAAACGGTTCGAAAACAGGCAGATAACCCAAAACGATGCTTACGGAGGTCGGGGGGTCGGACCGCATAATCTGCCACACTTCCCAAAAACTTCCGAAAACTCTTCCAAAACCACAGCACGGGACAAGGCACTTCTTTTTCGGCGAAGACTTCAAGAAGCGATTCCATACACTGTATAACAAAACACTTAATTAATATTTCACAAAGCCAGACAAGCGAACTCGAATATTCGTTGTTGTTACGTGTATCTCACTCCCACGCCCTCTATACCTTTAATATTTCCCATCAGGGTTGCAGGCTCGCGAACTGCCGCACTTTAACCTTTTAATTAAGGATAGTTAGACCACTGGCCCTCACGCAGTCCACATAGTTCGCCACTTCTTTTTCAGTAGACATGTATTCTAACTCCTCACTTTGATAGATTTTATTTACAAATTGGGTATACATTCAGACATGCCAAGTCTGTCGAGTATATTATCAATGTGACTCTGAGTCATCACCACCCTGCTCGAATTCAACACCCAAGCAATATATTTACGTCACCTAAGTCTATGACATCGAAGTCTGTTACAGAGTCCAATGGACATCGGTAATTTTCCGCTCAGAATACAGATGACAATCGTGTCTTGCCCTTTGCCAACAAGATACAGGCAGGGATCTGAGTCAGTTGGTCGTGCGCCCAAACTCCGTAATAATTACCTCGTCCAATCTACGATTCTATCTTCTTCCAGCTTATCGTAGTCGCCCTTCTTCAGGAGACAGACTCTGTTCACCTTACGGTATACCTTGATCATCTTGTCAGCCTTTTGTTTCACCACATTATGGCAATCGGACTCAACTTAGAGATCCCAATCAATTAATCTTTGAAATCCTTGGGCATCTCGATGTAAACTTCCTCAAGTTCGTTGTTTAGATATGCAGTCGATACGTCGAAATGTATAATTCATATCCCATAAGTAGTCACTAGGGAGTCTA